AGAAGCATATAAAAGGCGGCGCGAGCATGGCTACAGACGGCTGAAGAACATATCAGGCCCACTGTTTGCCGGAAAGATCACCGATCAGTTGCAGGCAACAATGCCCAACCGAGTGACATCTGACTGATGCTTACCGGGCTGAAGGCTGAGATCAGACTGGTATGCAGTGTTAAAGGTGAGTGATAACGACGGACGACACTACAGTCCTTATTTCGACGCCTCCATGCGCAGGAAGGGACTTACCAGGCAGGTGGTGTTCACCGGAAGGCGCTTAGGTATCTGAGAAAGGGGCCGGAACAGGCCTAAAGTTCAGACACTTCGACGTGAAACTGGAGCTAACCTTGGAAGCTTTCTCAGACGACCTCGGGGTTAAGACTTCTGTGCTATAACCCTCAGAGAACAGTAGGCCCCCTATGGCTTCTGACGAAGTTGACAGGCGATGGTTTTACAGGAAGTAAGCTCCACGTCGCCTGAGTTCCTGCATATGCAGGACCTCTTGCTGCGACCGATGCTACCAGAGCATCACAGTTGTCTTGAGGTCGGTCACGCATCGTCAAATTCCATCTCTGGTCTCTTGTCGCTTGCAACGTTGGTTGCGATTGGAGTCTTGCAGGGTCTTTGGCAGAAAGTACCTAGGTCCAAGAACTCACTAGCCGAAGGCCAAAACTTATCAGTGAATTAGGAGATGCATATAAGAGGAATGTTGGAACGGAAGTATTGGTGTACAGCCTGGAAACTCGAGCACATGGCGTGATATTGGTTCGTGGAGAGTCGCACAGCGCAGCAATGCCGCGGAAACGGTGGTGCGATTCCAATGACATCATCGGCGTGCGACAAATGGACCCCAGGAGGCGAACTTTCAAGTTCGGGCTTGAAAACTCCACGGAACAGAGCTTTGGACATTACAAAGGCGCCTGCACATGGCGCATATATTCTTGGATGAGGCAGATGGAAACCAACATATATCCTGTACACCATATTGACACTCGGAGCCTGTGAGACGACATCGCGGCCGCACAGGTATCCGGCGAGGCGCCAAAGTACCTAGGTACTTCCCCGCCGGTCTGCAGGGTTCTCCGTGGGCGGTGCGACCAGCGTGGAGGGCACCATCGACAACCACAAAAGCCATCGCAAGCCATGTCATTATCAGAACTCACCGAGCAGCAACGAGCGACTATCGGCGATCGCGCGCGAGTATGGGAAGTCCGACGCTTCTGCCAGGTGCTGCCATCTGTCGTTAAATACGTGCGTGGTTCGGACGCTGGCCTCACGAGCAGGCCATTGGAACCACACGGCAGATACGTCAAGAATGAACCAGACGGCGCGCTTGCTGCGTTGCTCCGTTGCGTCATCCATCAAACGGGCGCTGATCTGGCCATGGTCAGCTTGCTAGACGACCACACGCAATACTTCATCTCGGGGGCCAGTCGGGCCAACGCAGATGAAGCCAAGGTCACCTTGGGTGAGTGGAATCAACAGCATGGCGGACATACGTCGTATTCTAGCAGTGTCTAATTGGCACAGAAGACTCAACGCGATGGTACGGATGCGAGTCGGTAACTCATCACGGTGGTCTGTGCGAGCGTACCATCACGCGGCAGAATGAGCCAGGCGGGAGCATGGCACTCTACGAAGAGCTTGATATGGCTGAATTGGAGAGAACCAAACATCTCCCATTTGTTCAGGGTGATATTGCCAAGTTCAGACATTATGCTGGTGTTCCTTTGAACCCCTATGGAGGACCAAACATTGGCACTGTCTTCACGTTCAGCTCAACGCCGTCGCAGGGTGGGCTCTCGGACGCCCACCGTTCGTACTTGTTTGAGACAGCGTCACACATTATTCGTCATCTGGAACAAGCAGTAGAAGCACTGGAGGGTAAGCGTGTGCTCAAGTTCAACCAAGGTGTGGCTTCTCTACTCAAGATGGGTACGAGCGCAGGACTGGCGGCTCAGCCTGCTCACAAGAATCTTTCATCAGGCGGCCATACTGAACATGAAGTTCTGGTGTCAAACCTCTATCCCGCTGCAGCTCTGCAGCTGTACCATCTTTCAGCTACATTGCTCTACGATACTTTCGAATTTGACGGAGTTCGCATCCAAGAGTTGGGCTCCTCAAGCAACAAGAACCCCATCTGGAACGGCTCCAACGTGCTAGCCGAGCATCTCGGACCAAAAGCGCACAGGCCTCAAGAACTAAGCCACAGTCTGACAAGCAGATTGCTTGAATTATTTCCACATGGGGCTGTGTTCCAATTACTCAATGACACTAGCGACATCGTTGTTGCTACGAGCGCAGACGACGTCGCTTTAGTTGAAGATACCCTCATACTCAAGGAGCTTTCGAAAACCTTCCTGCGGGCTGAGCAGATCGTCTTGATGCCACTGTGGGATGCGTTTCACGAACGTAATATCGGTGCGGTCCTCGGGTTCGCCGAGAATCAGTCAAGAGTCTATCTCGGCTCGACGGATCTTGCTTCCATTTCAGCATTCTGCACCACGATAATGACGCAAGTGCGGCGTCTCGAAGCTCAAGCTATAGACAAGATTAAATCAGACTTTCTCGGATCGATCTCACATGAAATGCGGACACCTCTTCATGGCATACTATCAAGCCTTGAGCTTTTAGCGGACACACCACACAACGCACACCAACGCGACCTGCTGGAGACGGCAAGATACAGCGGCTTGTCATTGCTCGATACTATTGAGCGCGTTCTATATTTCAGCAACATCAGTTCCGGGTCGCAAAGTGCACCTCTACCAAGATCAGACTCATCGAACGATGGGCTTCTCCTTTCGTCAAGTCTTGCACCCCATCATTCGGCAGCTTCCTCGCAAGACAAGGATACCGTAAAGCTGATGGATACTTGTGAGGACATCATTCACAGTGAAGTTCACAGGTATCGCGTCAAAAAGGCTGTCCAGCCTGATTCTTCGATGCACAGTAAGTAAACTGGTGGAGACGGTCCAAGTCCGGTCAGAGCTCATGGAAAAAAGGCCTTGTCTATCATCCCATCATAACTTTCGACACGAATGCCAATCGGTCATGCCGTCTGGTAGCCGTCGCTAGCTTTCGAGCGATCTTGACAAATCTTATAGTAAGTTGTACAGATACAAAAAGCGCATGCATGAGCCGTACTGACGTAAGAGAGAATAATGCCTTGAAGTTTGGGGAACCGACAAACTGCATTCGAGTTTCACTGAATGTCACGGACGGTACTACCAAAATATCTTGTACAGACGGCGGTAAAGGCATCTCTTCCGACTTCATCCGCCATTCAATCTTTGACCCATTTTCTCAGGAGGATCCCATCGCAGAAGGTACTGGCCTTGGACTTTCCATTGTCAAGCAAACAGTCACTATGCTGAGTGGTGATGTGCAGATTGAGTCAAACAAGAAAGAAGGCTCTACATTCACTGTCACACTCCCATCGAGTCAGGCACTTTATGAGGCTCCAGAAGAGGCATCAGAGAGCTCAAATTTGCAGGCTGGTACTGCTGAGCTACACCAGCTTGACATGAGCCTCTTTACACCGACGCGCTGGAGATCAGGAGACTCTTTACGAGACCAGCGCTGTACTGATTTATTGTTGGGCTCCCTTGCGAAGAGTCTAAGCCGGTGGTTCCACATTCGGGTCGTTCCTTGGGAAAGTGCAAGCAGAGCCTCGCCGTGGCGCTTGCTTGTTGTTTTGGAGGAGGACGAAGACAGTGCACTGCGGGCTTGCGGTGGCGCATCTGACGACTACGAGCGCATCCGTCTCTGCCCTGATGTACAGACCGCTCCCAGTCAGTACTCAACGCCTTTGAAGGGTGTCGCGACAATTGCGGGTGCGGTGACTAGTTCAAAAATCCAGGATGCGCTGGCGCACTTGTATCCTAGCCAAGTCCCCCCCTCTGAGCTTCGCCACAACTCCGACCAGGAATCAGTCGCGAAAATCTATGATCAGCAACAGCCAGTAGAAGGGAGCCGCAGCCAATTACGCGGAGACGCAACCGACGAATGTCGTGCTGCGCCAACAGCATTGCTGTCCCGGTTAGAACTCGAGAGGAGCCCCCAATTAGACGGCGAGGAAAGCGGTGGGCAGCCACTGGCAATGCCAGCCGCCAGCCCAGCGGTCACTCCAGAGATGAACATGGCAGCAAGGTCTAATGGAGCCCAACCCGACCACCGAGACGTACAAGCGCATACTGAGCAAGCAAAAGAGGCGGCAGTCTGTACATCACCAGAGGCAGCTGTGGCAGAGCCTAGGCTGCTGCTGGTAGACGATAACGCTGTAAACCTCAAGGTACTTGCCATGTATGCAAAAAAGTGTAGCAAGGCAGGTGCAACACCTGTCGGCGGTGGCCAAGAGGCCATCGATGCCTTCAAGAACGCCAACGGGTCCAGCGACGACACGGCTCCGCAACCTTTCGATCTCATTTTCCTCGACCTCTCTATGCCCGAGGTCTCGGGCTTCGAGGTTGCGAGGGAGATACGGAAGACGGAAGCGCGGTCAGGGTGTAAGAGGACGTACATATGCGCACTCACCGGGCTGGTGAGCGAAAAAGACCGCAATGCTGCGTATGCTTCGGGTGTAGATAACTACCTTGTTCGACCAACGAGGCTGCAGGACTTGCAGGGCGTCATTGAGATGTGGCGGGATAAATCAAGCGAGAAATGAAAGCTACCGTGCTGCACAGATGATGCAAGACGCAACAAGTGTCCGGCTGTGGCCAACGAAAGGGAAGCGCTAGCTGCGGCGGAGGCTCAGTGCACCCGAGAGGCCGATGGGTGGGATGTGATAATTCACTATCGCAACGTCATGACGCGAGCACTCTGTTGTTGGTAAGCTGCCGTCCGCGCTTGCACCCGACGCCGAAGATGATTACAGTCGCGCTCGTTAACCTGGCCGTCGACTTGTAGCCATGCGCGCGGCCCCCTAGCCCAGACACGACGCTACGCAACCCCGGATCTCGACGCCCACGACGACGCCAGCTCAACCACACACAGCCCTCGCCATGGCCTCCAACACCGACGCCGCCTTCGTCGAGGACACCGACATCGAGCAGCAGCTGAGGGCGCGCGCCCATGGCTCCAAGACGCCCAAGACACCGGGCCCCGACAGCGACGACGAGGACGCGCCGCTGCTGGGTGCCTCGCCGGCTGCCAGCGGGCACGAGCAATGGGCTGGCGATGCCGACTTTCGCGGCCTTCCCTGGTGGAAGCGCCCTTCGGTACGCCCCCGCAGCCCCTCGCGTCGAGGGCGCATCGACTGACGGCAGCAGATATTCTGGCTCCTGCCTCCCTTCCTGCTCTTCACCATCGCGTTTGGCGGCATCATCGTGCCCAAGATCAACCTGATCATGGACCTCGTCTGCGAGGAGTACTACGCGACCCTCGAGACCGACCCCATATCCTCTCCCATGGACCCGGGCCAGGACCGATGCCAGAACGACGCCGTGTCCTCGCGCTCCTCCCTCTTCCTCCTGTACGCCAGCTTGTGCTCCGGCATACTCTCCGCCATCATCAGCCCAAAGATTGGCGCCCTCTCGGATCGGTACGGGCGCAAGAAGTTCATGATAGCCAACACCTGCGGCGCCCTCTTTGGCGAGGTCCTCACAATCCTGGCCGCCAAATTCCCCGACACGGTGCACGTCAACTGGATACTCGTTGGCTACTGCTTGGAGGGCGTATCGGGATCCTTCATCGTCGGCATGGCATGCGCCCACTCATATGCCTCCGACTGCGTTGCACCACAGAAGCGGAACGTCGCCTTTTCCTACTTCCACGCTTGCTTGTTTGGCGGCATCGCCATCGGACCCGCGCTGGCAGGCTACATCATCAATGCGCGCCAGAAGTACGTTGGCAAGACCGAAGCCGTTTTGCTCATCTTCTACATGGCCCTTGGTGCCCACTTGATCTTCATTGCATTCCTTGCCTTCCTTGTCCCCGAATCACTCAGCAAAGCACGCCAGGAAGCCGCACGTGAGAAGCGCAGAGAGGAAGTGGAACGACAGGGTCCCGCCGGCGACTTCATCAACCAGCTACGCTCTATCAACCTGTTTGGCCCGCTGAAGATTCTCTGGCCGACTGGACCTGGCACCTCGTCGGCTTTGCGCTGGAACCTGCTTCTGTTGGCCGCTACCGATACCATCATGTTTGGTGTCGCAATGGGTGCCATGAGCGTTGTCCTCGTCTACACGCGCCGCCAATTTGATTGGCATGAGCTAGAAAGCGGCCGCTTCACCACTATCGTGAACAGCTCGCGTGTTTTTGCTCTTCTAGTCATTCTGCCGATTCTGACCCGCATCTTCCGCGGGAAGAATGGGGCTGCCCGCATGCGCAGTTCAGGTTCTGACCTATTCGACCTTTCCATTATCCGTGCAGCCATCTTCTTCGACATGGCTGGCTTCCTCGGATATGCCCTTGTCCGCAAAGGCGAGCTCTTCGCACTCTCTGGCGCTATTGCTGCCATTGGCGGTATCGGTTCGCCCACTCTTGGCGCTGCATTGACCAAACATGTGCCGCAAGATCAGGTCGGTCAACTGTTAGGTGCCACGGGCTTACTTCATGCTGTTGCACGTGTCATGGGGCCCACCATCTTCAACGGTATCTACAGTGCCACTGTCGGCGCGTACAGACAAACCGTTTTCGTATGTCTTGCAGCGACTTTCGGGACTGCGTTCCTGTGCAGTTGGTTCATTCGTCCACATGGTGAGTGCTCAACCACACCTACATACCAGGCTGATTCTGACACGTTACAGTATATACAGACGGAGATGACAAACGCGTTACACGATCAGATGAACAAGAAGCATAGCTTGCTTCTCTTCATGCTGGCGCTTCAGTCGCACTTCTTTCGGATCCTTAGATTTTCTGGACAGCAATATCCATTTTTCGCGCACGCATATGTACAGACAGCGATGGTGTTTGGATTGGCATTTTGAAACCGCCGGGTTGTCGTTAGGCTGCATATCTGTATACTTTATGTTAACGTAACGTTGAACACTTGTTCTAGCGCATATTGCACCTCGCATCGTGAGACCTTTGCCCACGGCTTGTTATCGACCAACATGTGCGTTGCTGGTGCCGCCGTATGAAAGGGTACGTCGAGACTTCAGTGTGTGCCACTCTGCCAAACTCAGCGCTGATGGGAGCCATCTTCTGAGCTCATCGGCCCAGGGAACAGCCAACACGACTTTGCGAAATTGGAGGCAACAAATCTAGGTGTTGTTTGCGTGAAATATCTGCAGTAGCTGCCTAGGGAGTACAAGACAACGCGGAGAAGCTGTGGTGGTGGGCGCCGCAGCAGAACGAGGCTGACTAACGAACCTCGGGCCGTCAGGTACGTCAGCTTCCACGTTGCATCTTCCCGTGCCAATTGGCCATCGCGCGACCACTACAGCGTCTCCCTTTTTGTATTGCACACCTTTCAATCCGCCGCCAGTTACGGTCTCAGCGGTCGCGATCCCGACTCAATGTCAACAGCATTCCGGTAGCACCATCACTGGACAAGCCCTCGTCAGGGCCCCGCAACCGCCATGTCAAAAGAGAACCGCGCTTTCGATACCCAGAGATTGGGCGCAGGCTACGGTTTCGAGTCGCACCCGAAGCATGCTATTGAAATGCCCCCAACATGGGTGCTTCTCGTAGGCTTGGGCTTTCTGCTATGCGCAATGGGCTTTTGGGTACGGACACATGCGCCTACATGACAACGTGCATGCGACTAATGACCATGAGTGACAGCTTTATATAGCATTGAACCTCCTCGCGCCCACTCCACGACTGCCACGGCGTTCCGAGAAACAATACACGACGATACTACCCGACGGTGCACGAAGCGACCCAAAAGAACTTCCGTGCTGGCTGGACAAATGGGCAGCAGAGAAGGAAGCCGCCAAGAAACAAGCTGCGAAGGAGCCGGGAAGCAAAGTCGTCATACCGCCACAAATGCCCATCGAAGAACCGGAGCTCTTCATGAGCGTCGTGGTCCCCGCATACAACGAGGAGGAGCGGCTGGAAGGCATGTTGGAGGAGGCTGTCGACTACCTGGAGAGCCAATACGGTGATGCGCATGCTGGCGGCAAGGGTGAAAAGAGCCAGAGAGGATGGGAGATACTCGTTGTTAGCGATGGAAGCACTGACGGCACCGTCGACAAAGCGCTGGAGTTTGCAAAGGAGCACCAACTCGCCCAACACCCCAAGTCGAAGCCAGGGCCGTGGTCGAAGAACGGCGACGCCAAGGCCGCGCACTCAACACACATCCCACACGGCAGTATTCGCGTCGTCACGCTCGAAGAGAACAGAGGCAAAGGCGGCGCAGTCACGCACGGCATGCGACATGTTCGAGGCCAGTACATTGTCTTCGCCGACGCGGATGGCGCGAGTCGGTTCTCGGACCTAGCGGCTCTCGTTGAAGGCTGCCAGAGCATCGAGGACAAGCATGGGCGCGGTGTTGCCATCGGCTCTCGAGCTCATCTCGTCGGCAGCGAAGCCGTTGTTCAGCGCTCCAAACTCCGCAACTTCTTGATGCACTCGTTCCACATCCTCCTTCGCATCATGACGCCTCCGGCCACCGCACGCATCAAGGACACGCAGTGCGGCTTCAAGTTGTTTTCACGACCAGCACTTCCCTATATTGTCCCCTACATGCACTCGGAAGGCTGGATCTTCGACGTCGAGATGCTGATGCTGGCCGAGAGCGCTGACATTGCCATGATTGAGGTGGCCATCGGGTGGAAGGAGGTCATGGGTAGTAAGCTAAATGTTGTATGGGATAGTATTGGCATGGCATGGGGTCTTGCGCTGTTGAGAGCTTGTTGGATAGCGGGTATTTATCAGAGGGATTAGGGTTTGTGTATATAGAATGAAGCCGCGTTACCCGCCTGTGACTGCCCTCGCATTCACTATTCTTTGATGTAATGAACTAAACGCACTTTTGTTGAAACTCACATGCTGCATTGTTTCACGTGGCTGGCCCCCACTTGCACTCTCGTTTCTTGGCCACAAAGAACAGCAACACCACATGTTTCCATGACAGACGTTGTGAGACGTAGCTTCCATGAAACCGAACTCCTGTCTGCCACCGAGGCATTCCAAGGCTGTAATCTCCCCACGTGCCCCATTACTCGGACACTGGGCTAGAGGTTCTCGACACGGTGACAATCTCGACAGCCTATCGGAAGACCTGAAGTACTAGTCCATTCGCATAAAGGGCTAGGTATCGTTGCTCGATTGAGCATATGATGCTATTCTCGTCTCTGCTCTTATCACTGTGGGATATTCTTCGCCAAATAGTTCTCTACACTATGGAAGTGAAGGCGACCTCAAAGTGCTAGCACATCCTGCATGCATAGACACCATAAATGTCGTGACGCATCCCTCGCTTACTCGAAACTCGCGACCCAACCATCACCGACTCTCTCACCTTTCGCATCTACACCACCCCAGAAGACTATGCTGCTGCCCTTCTCCATGACGTCCGATCCAAACAGAGCCCTTGGGCCGGGATGCAGTTTGCCATCTTCCTCTTCCAGTTGTTTCTCCGAAGGCGTCTGTACTACCGCCTCCGCCCACGACAAGTGACCAGTATCAGCCCCCAGCGCAGATCGGATCGCATCTTTGATCTTTGCAGGGTTGATGGCGTTCTTGAGCGTCATTGATGGCTTCGCCTCCAAATCGCTTGCAGGGATCTGGAGAACCCAGGTGTCGCTGAATTGGGTGACTTCGCCTGCGTGCTTTGGATCTTCTGGCTTCGTGTTGGATGCATCAGCAGAAGAGTCGCTCCGTGCGCCTAGGAGATAGATGAGGTAGTTACGGCCCCACCCAGTAGTCACCGGTATCAAGGCGCCGTCATGTCGCGCACGGGGGCCAGGCGCTAGTGGATTGGTAGGAAACGTAAAGGACTCCCATTTCCTCTCTTCACTGGAAGACGAGACGCTGATATGATGGAGCTGGCTACTCATTGGATCGGATCCAGATATCAGCCATAACTGACCATTCGCCAAGGCGGCGTTGGATGTCGCGACTGGCGCTGTTGGAAGTTGCGTCCAGTAGCGCGCAGCGATGTCGAATTGCCACAAATCCGATGCATTGTCCCCAGAGCCATCGACACCACCGAACAACACTACGTGTTGATCATGCGCGAACAGCTTCGCGTTGCGTCGCGGGCCCGGGCCAATGTCTCCAGTGTCGACATCTCCCTTGGAGGGTTGTAGAATATCCCAGCTCTTTCTGTCAGGACTGAACAGCCATACAGACGATTGCTCGTCGATGAGATCGCCAGCGTTATCACTGCCACCGTATATAGCGATGTTGCCGTGGAAAGCACAGGCTGCGTGATTCGATCTCTCCGCTGGCGTGCGGCCATCTTCGCATGTTGACAGAGCAGGAATGATGCTGTAGTCCATCTCCGGTTTACCGGAATGCTCAAGAGTAACGGCATGCACATGGTTGCTCGCAAGAACGTTGTTCGCAGTATCTCCGCCGAAGATATAAGCCTTGTTGCCGAGCACCGTGACTGTGTGATTGGAACGCGCCAAAGAGCGTCTGGAGGTCAGTTTGACCGTATGTAGTAGCAGTGGAGTACATACGCCGAAGAGTCACCTGTTGCTGTGGCTATGCGTTTGAAAGTGACTTTGAGGGGGAGCGTGGGCTTCGAGACGATGTACGCGGCGTAACCTGCTTCTGCCGTGTGTTCTACCACTTCGGCCGCAACGTACGCGCCTGCTGCAACTTCAGCCATGGCTCTGGTGCTGATATGGTCTCGTGATATCTGACAGTGTCCGGCAATTGGGCAATAGGCTGAGAAGGCGTCGAGTATGAGAACTAGTAGCAGACGACAAGGAGGCAGAGAGGGGCGAAGGCTAATGCAGGTACGCGGGTAATGACGTCAGTGGACTCCACAACGACTGCAAGTACGCAGTTGGGACATGTACTCCATGAAATGACATTGGCCTTGTGATATCTAACGCGGCTGTCATTGCCGACTGTATGAGTTGCAGATAACCAGAATGCGGTCTCATAGTCACAGCGGTGGAGGCGATGAGGTTTTCATCAGGCGCTCCTCCAATGCTGACACGATCTTCTTGCGCATGCATGCCCCGGCTTGCGTGAGGGGTAGCGGGAGCCCATGAAGAGATCCGAGCACTACATACATCCACGTCCCTTCCGGTTATCTTACCGCCGGTTTCTCGATTTTATATATGTAGGTTTTGCAATCCGCGCCATAACTCCGCTAATCGCTACTCTTCTTCCTTTCTGTGCCCACGTAAAACCTTGAGACCTGCGCTACACCTCCGCAAATTCCTCGTCAAGACATATTGCGTTATTTCTGTACACGCGCCACCAGTTCGCTGCAATACTTATAAACAACCTGTGCCACTCGGCGAAGCCAACGGTACCACCCTGCATGTTTGAACAAGCTCAAGTGCTGTCTCGGCCAGATATACATGGATGGTAGCTCCTCCGGTCTCCAAGCACCACCGCCCAGCCAATCCCTTTACGTTCGGCTCATCAGCCACACCAGCTTTGCTCCGTACGTTTTCATTGCGGAGTTGGTAGAGATCGCACGATGCGTAATTCTCAGTATCTTGTGTCGACGTCTTTGTATTTATATCCAGGGTTTGTGAAGAAGATCTGCTACTTGAAGCCGCCACCGCATTTCTCCGCATCCCATCGTTTGTGCTGAGTCTGAAACACGATCTAAGCGAGAGGAAGCCATGAGAGGCCGTCTTTGAGGTTGCGTAGTTTGTGCTCAGCCGCCGACATGGCGGCCATGCCGCAGAAACCTTGGTCGTCATTACAAGGCCTCGTCATGAACTACAGCGTTGGAATTCAACAACAGTGAGTCGTGTCTCATGTCTGGGCGGTGAATTTCCTCAGGGTGTATCCATGCTTAGATACGAGGAGAGCATTATCAGAGCAACTATAGGATAGTGGAGTCATTAGAGCCAATGTGCTGCGTCACTTCCTAAAGGCTTCGGCATGACATCCCACCCCACTGACAGACCCTCGATGCGAGCCGAGTGGGTTACCGCTTCTAGCTCCCCGAAGTGCGTTTGCCGCAATTCTAGGTACCGTTTTACATCCTCTGTGCTTTTGAAATCCTTGCGGGCGAACCCGCTTTTGCCATCGTAGCGCCCCAAAGACCGCATAAACCTCATAACACCAGCCAACGATACGATAACCTCATAGGCGCCTCCAGCAGTAGCGCGCTTATACAAAGCGGCCATGATACCAGTTGCTAGAAGATAGCCGGCACCGTGGTCGAATGCTTGGCAAGGTAGTGCGCGCATCGGTTCGCCGGCTCCATGGCGCTCAGCCTCCGCTACATTGATACCGCAACAGCTCTGGACAAGCGAGTCAAACCCGCGATTTAGCGACCATGAATTCCCGGGACCGTATGCACTGAGGCTTGCAACGATCAGGCTTGGATTGGCCTTGGTCAATACTTCTGCAGAGAGACCCTTTGCTGCTAGGCTCCCGGGGCGATAGCTTTGGAGAAAGACGTCAGCTGTGGAGAGCAGATCCAGTAGCTTAGCTCTCCCTTCGGCCTTCGATATATCTAACTGCACCGTGCGCTTGCCTCGCGATAGATCTATATCGAGATCGGGAAGATCGGGTCTGGATGTACGTATGTGTGGTTAGTACACCTTCTTTCCAGGGTTAGCTCGTAAATGGATACTACTGACAGATGCGGCGATGTGATCCAGATAACGTCGGCCCCGTGTGCTGCTAACGTCTTCCCAGCGACTGGCGCAGCTATAACTATAGATCCGGGGTAGGTCAGTGTACGCCTTACAAGCTATCGGTACAGCTGCATACCTCTGCTCATCTCGACAACCCGAATGCCTTCTAGGCATTTGTCCATTACCTTCGGGGTTCGCTCTAATGGCATACACAGCTCGGAAGTTGCAAGTTTCGTTATCAAAACTGGGTGGTCTGTAATAGCCTTGGCTTGAGGCAAAGCGTCCCATTGATCAAAAGAACGCAGCGCAGCAATCATAGCTCCGGAACGAAAAGCCTCAGCTTCCAGTTCTACCGCTTTCCACTTTGACACCTTTTGTGCCACAACTTTCTTGGATGCGTCAGGTGGAAGTCCTAGAATACGAAGCGCGTTCTGACGATGATTTGAGAATGAATCGTGTATCCTGACGTATCCATCGGCTGCTTGATGAAACCCACCAATAACTCCCCATGGGGGCGATGCGGCTTTTCCATTGAGAGTATAGAGTCGCTCGGATTTGAATTCAACGCATGCATGCTCTGCCGGAACTGTAACGCGGGGCATTGAACATCCATTTAGATGAGACCAAAAGAGAGCTGCAACAAGCGCGGACGCTGCAACGGTTGACTGCGCGAGAACATCAATTTTGAATGAAGATGGTAGGCATTCTCTGTCGAAGGGCAGATCTAGCGAGTCGAGAGCTTCCTGTGGCAAGTCTAGCATCTTCCATAGGAGGGCGACAGAGCTAACCGCGTCGGAATTAGTGGGCTCCATGCAGAACAATGACTGAAGATCTCTGGAATTGACTTGATGCATCCAGGATCTAAACGGGAACAAAGTGTGCTAGGTAGAGGACACTTGGGCAGGTGGTAGAGGTCCAGGCGGGAGAGATTCAGCGCACCGAACTGCTAGGATGGCTGGGAATACATCGAGCTAGATGACCGGAAAAACGGGACAGAGATGGAGTAGACGAGAGATCATGGCTGCATGCATAGCCGACAATTGCCGGGCCCCATTATGTAAGCGAAGCCAGAACTGCGACCATTGACAGACGGTGGTGTTGGTCCAAAAGCTTCTGCCATGCACTGCCATGCAGACGTACAACATCGTCACAGTCTTCGTC